TTCTAAAAATAATTTGAGTGCAGACAGGGATCCGTTTGCTTTATCGTCGGTCAAACATCGTAAACCGAAAAGTATCTTATAATTCGGGACGGAGGGAGTACTTTATTAGTGTACTCATGGCCGGGATGGGTTTGTCCCATTCTCAATTCTGGTTTTCTTTTAAATGATAATTCTAAAATTCGACCTACCCAAAATCAGGCCGGCTAATAAGCAAATCTAGAATTTAGGAATATAAACAAGACTCAAAGCTAGCATTTGTTAATTTACTTGAATCGTTTCTGCCTCAGACCAGGCCAGAATGCCAGATTAGTTCAGACTATATTAGATTAAACTTGGATAGTTATAAATGCAAAGAGACCAGACATTTATCAGACCGGATCAGATCAGAGAAGACCAGCAAATTCCATCCAAGTAAAAATATCCTAAGTCCGAAACTGGATTATACTACACAAATCAGGCCAGTCTACACCAAATCAATCTTTGATAATTGTAAAATACACATAGAACATACGTTTAGCATAACAAATTAGATTAATCCATATCTGAACGAACTTAAATATATCAGACTAGATTAGATTAAATCAGACCGGACTAGATTTGATTAAAAACATCTTCCCTAATGCAAGGTATCGCTATTCTTTTGACAATTGGCACCAAGATTTGAGCGATTCAGAACCAGTAGTCCAGTATCTTCATTTCACTTGATCAACTGGATATCAATTTTTGTACAAGAGCAAATGGGACCCTCAAATTTATTTCAAATCTTTTGTATTTGACTAAAAAACTTTTAGACATGAAGCATTGATGGACTATCATGGATTAATGGCAATAAAATATACAGGATACTATATGTATGTGATACTCATTGTCCCAAATATAAGGGCCACTAATTTAAGAGCTGCCTTTAATACATAAATCTCCCACATTTTTTAACTGTTGTTTTAGGTTTTTATTTATATACATATACATTAATAATTTAATCAAGTACTTCGTATTACATTTTTGTGCGTTTCAAATATTTTATATTGTTTGTCTTCCTCTTTCTCTAGATACTTTTTTTTTATAACTTTGGTATTTTATGCTGACTCATGTCTGAGGACTTCAAACTCTTCTGTTGGGATGTTAATGTTGTTGTTAACATACAACTGTATTGTAAATAAAACAATTACAACTACGGAGTATAATTCTTCTAAGCTAAGCTTTTGTGATTTAGTGCCATCAGAAAGATCGGCACAAAATATTACGGAGAAGTAAATAAAATATCTCTCATAATGTCAAGAACAATGTATAAATGTAAACGTTGTGATTGATATTATTATCAAAATTATATAAAACCGTAGAAAGAAGAAAAAAGAAATATTGATGATTAATTTTTTGTGTATATCTTTCTAATGTCACATGTACACCGTGCATATTGATATATTGAAAATGTTCAGAGTATGACTAATTAATTAGCTAGGAGTACACCAAATATTCCTTTTAAAACTCTTAATTTTTTTATAAAAATAAAAATAAAAAGTGTTGTGTGACACATCTAAGTTATAACGAAGAACTTTCATCGAACCATATTTCTATCACAAATCAAATCAGACTAAATTAGATTACGAATTTACGATAATTATAAAATATACAAAAAAAAACCAATATTTATCAAACCAGACCATAACATGAAATTTCAGTCTAATTGAAAGATTCGTGGTATACTGACTAAATTTATGTGTACCAAACGTTTACAAAAGTGTAACTGTGTAAGGTGATATTTACTCCGTATGTGATTCTTTCTATTTTGAAGGAACTACTACGTAATAAACAAACAAGCACGTAAATAAATAAGCAACAATTGATGTTAGGGTGAATACTGATTACGTATATTATTGGATACAATAACGACAAAACGAAAAAATAAAGTAAATAACAGAGAGGTGTATTACGATAAACATCATTATTGAATTCTCGTTGTGACAACATGGTACAGTCGACTTTCGCATACTCGATATATATAGGATACCTCTTCTCCAAAATAAAAAAAATACAATCTCACAGCAGTTGCCACTTCCTCCTCTTTTATTGGGTCCATATTCTCCCATTGAAATCCCAAAACTGTTTCCTTCTGGTTTCTTTTCCAGCCCACAGATAAGAAGATGAATATCCAAAAAATGAAGTTTCTGCTTCTTCCAGCATTAACACTCCTGATGTTATTCCTTCGTAGACATGTGGAAGGAGTAGATGTGAAAAACCAGCAGAAGACATACATCATTCACATGGACAGATCCAACATGCCCTCTGGCTTTGATGATCATCACCACTGGTATGATTCCTCCTTGAAGTCGGTTTCAGACACGGGCAAGATGCTATACTCCTATAGCAATACCATTCATGGCTTCGCTGCACGGCTAACTGCCAATGAAGCAAGAACGCTTGAGCAGCAGACAGGGGTCATCTCGATCCACGAAGAGGTCAAATATGAGCTTCACACAACACGGTCACCCTTATTTCTCGGGCTTGATGGCCACATCGAAAGCAAACAATTCATTTCTCTTAATAGTAACAACAGCGTACAGAGTGATGTTGTAGTTGGTGTTATAGACACCGGTGTTTGGCCGGAATCAAAGAGTTTTGATGACACTGGGTTTGGTCCGATTCCCAGAAGCTGGAAAGGGGAGTGCGAGGTGGGCACAAACTTCAAGCCATCAAACTGCAACCGGAAACTCATAGGCGCCAGGTTTTTCTCAAGTGGGTATGAAGCTGCGAACGGGCCAATTGACGAGACCATCGAATCCAAGTCACCCAGGGATGATGACGGTCATGGCACGCACACAGTGTCCACAGCGGCCGGATCAACGGTCACCGGAGCGAGCTTCTTCGGTTTTGGATCAGGCGTGGCACGTGGGATGGCCTCAAAAGCAAGGGTTGCAGTATACAAATCATGTTGGGTGGGAGGGTGCTTGAGCAGTGACATATTAGCCGCAATTGATAAAGCAATTGAAGATGGGGTGAACGTACTATCAATGTCATTGGGTGCTTCACTTACAGAATACTATAATGACCCTATAGCAGTCGGAGCATTTGCAGCAACGAGCAGGGGAATCTTTGTCTCCTGCTCGGCGGGAAATGGCGGGCCATACTCAAACAGCCTATCCAATACGGCACCATGGATAACAACTGTGGGTGCGGGTACGATCGATCGTGACTTCCCAACCTATATCAGCCTTGGGAACGGGAAGAAATTTAAAGGCGTATCCCTTTACGGAGGGAGCCCGTTACCCGCTTCCCAAATACCTCTAGTATATGCTGGCGGCGATGGTATATCATCTGATGGAGGAGGACTATGCACAACGAGCAGTCTAATTCGCGCAAAGGTAGCTGGGAAGATTGTGGTGTGTGACAGAGGTGAGAATAGAAGAGCAGAAAAGGGTTTAGTTGTAAAAGATGCAGGTGGTATAGGCATGATTCTAGCAAACACTGACCTTACAGAAGATGATCGGATCGCAGATGCACATGTCATCCCTACAGCAGCTGTGGGTGAGACTGCGGGTGACGCGATAAAGAGCTACATATCTTCCACTCGTAACCCGACAGCCACAATAGGGTTTGGAGAAACAAAATTGGAAGTCCAGCCATCACCGGTTGTGGCAGCATTCAGTTCAAGAGGGCCAAACACAATCACACCTGAAATACTCAAACCGGATTTCATAGCACCAGGGGTTAACATCCTCGCTAGTTGGACCGGCAGAGTGGGACCGACAGGGTTACCTCAAGACAAAAGGCGTGTCAACTTCAATATCGTCTCTGGGACTTCCATGTCATGCCCGCATGTCAGTGGACTGGCTGCACTACTCAAAGCGGCTCATCCAGAATGGACCCCAGCAGCTATAAGATCAGCACTTTTGACTACGGCTTATAGAACATACCAGAATGGGAAATCCATTGAGGATGCGGCAACCGGTATGGAATCAACACCATTTGATCATGGTGCTGGGCATGTAAACCCGGTATCCGCACTTGATCCGGGTCTCATTTACGATATAATGGTTGACGATTATACAAACTTCCTTTGTGCCATAGGATATACCGCAAGTATGATCAAGACCGTCACAAAGAAAGACGTGTCATGTGGTGCAAATAAAGAGCACAGAGTAACTGATCTTAATTACCCGTCTTTTGCCGTTCCTCTCGAAACGGCTTGGGGTAAAGGTGGTGCTAAAAATGCAGTGGTCAAGTACACTAGGACACTCACAAATGTGGGCGACCCAGCTACTTACAAGGCCTCAGTCTCTGTTCTGACGAAGTCTGTAAGGATATTAGTTGAACCACAAACTTTGAGTTTTAGTAGACTGAACGAGAAGAAGAACTACACCGTGACATTTATAGCCAGTTCAATGCCATCAGGCACAACTGGCTTTGCTCATCTTGAATGGTTAGATGGAAAACATAATGTCCATAGCCCAATTGCTTTTAGCTGGACATGATGATTCTACTGAACCTATATTGTCATGGAAGATATATGTCCATAATAATTGATAATTGATAATATCATAATACTACCACACCGGAAAAGAGTCTTGATTGTAAAACTGAAATTCAGTATTATACACAAGACTCCTTTTCTGAGTTAGGGTGGGTAATATGCAATAGGTCACTGTTTAGTTCTCGTGCAACCAGACTTTACTTGTATCGTCAAGAAGCTTCTGTACAAAAGTGTCTGTGTTGATTGTACGCTAGATGCTAAAAAGTTCTTACAATTTATTGTTTTTACTTAAGCTTTGTATCTAAGAGCTTGTAACTTATGATGTGATTTGACATGGAGAGTGTGCTCTTCATAAAGAATACCTAAAACAAGAATATAGCAATTTCTACAAATACTTAAACTAAAGCTTCAACAACTAATGTTTAGGTGATGCAATATTGCAGCAGAGTTGTGCACATGTAGGAAAAATCTGATAATAGAAGAGATCTTTTTGGAAAATTCTTCTATAAAAAGAATGACATCTATTAATAATGCATCTTGATAATATAAATTTGATAATGACAATCATAAGACACGTGTCTCACTGTCTCCTGCTTCAACGTTTACAAATGAGTGATTTTTGCTTGAACCTTAGTATTACAGTATTGAAAGAACACTGAGCAAGAGCAACTTGGAATTGAATACTCCCGGCATGTGTGGGGTTCAGAAAATGCGCTATAAACAAATTCAATCGGATTCATCGATAGAATGACAAACAGGGAGATTATATGTATCCAACTGCCAATATTTGTGTTTAACTCCTTCCCAGATTTCTTCACCTAAACAATCTTTCACTGGTAGTGGTATGAACTGAGTGGAATAACCCATGCTGACAAGTTCCAGAGAAACTAACTGGCAGTAAACAACGTGGAAGAAAGGATTACCTCCACAGAGTCCATTGAAAAATGAGTAGATGCCACCGGGTTTTAATAATTTATGAAGATATTGGTGAAACTCCCTCATATCTTCATAATACTCTCCATAAGTGTCAAAGAATATACCTGATTAGTTCAACCAAAAAGGAAATACTTATTTATTGAAATTTGTACAATCTCATATGGAATGCACGGTGGAGGAGTTACCATCGTAAGATTCAAGTTTTGAAACAACATCCTGCCAACGACCAAAAATGATCTTCACATTTTCTTTCTTGCCCCACCCTTGGTGTATCATGCGATCATAAACCTCGGGGTGAGCTTCAATGATAGTATGTGAAGAAGGTGCATATTGCTGGATTGCAGTGTCCACAAGCCCCATGCCAAACCCAATGTTCAAAATGTGACCGCCATTTGAGCAAACTGCCTTTGCATGAGCTTCCATCAAAGGCTTTTCCCAAGCCATCATAACTGCTTTGCTTTCAGCATCCATAATCTTATCCTCACTGAAACTAACCCTGTCTTCCAAATAATCATCAGCAGAGTCCTGGTTCTTATTTCCTCTGGCAATTGTTCCAAGCACCATTTCTGCTTGTAATGCTATGCATACAGCCCAAAAAGGTTAAAGAATTTCTTCCCATTTATAAACTCTTGAGTATACACATAAAGCATATAAATAACAATAGCAGAACAGGGAACACGATGTACCAAGCTCATGGTATATACAAATGATGAAATAAGCATTTCTTTATAACAATAAGAGTTGTTATCAAATCTGAAACGAGCATCTTTTATATTCGAATGATATTGTAATGAATGAAATATGTGCGGGACAAAATTATAATTTTAATGGAATGATGGAAATGTTAAAGAAAATTACAAAAATACCCAGAAGCAAAATTATATCCTGATGTATGATATAATTTGCTCACCTCATTAAGCTGGGATTTATGAATCAGCAACTTCATTTAAGCTTAAATTCCCAAAATAAACTTTAAGGGTGTTCAAGCCAGATAACACATGTAAACAATTTCAACTTTACAAATTTCACTTTTAGTAATTGCAGTTTTGGATATGACACATTAATTTAAGTTTGGATTACAGTGTAAGAATGAAAAATCTGTGTTGTGTGAAGTTCTAACCTGCATTGAGGAGGGCGTCGAAGGCTTCTTGGTGTCCAGCATCCATCGCATAGTCTCCGGCCGACTGATTGGAAGGAGAAAGGGCATTCCAGGGAGCGCCGGCGTCGAGGAGAATCGTCACCACCTGCGCGTGGCCGTGCTTGGCGGCGTGCATGAGTGGATTTAGGCCGTTGCAGTCGTAATATGAGACGTCCGCCCCGGACTCTATTAATGATCTCACTTTGCCCAAGTCTCCCTTTCGAGCTGCCTCGCAGAGAGCTTCCTCGTCAGACATGGCGGCGCGTGCTAGTGACTTCGGTGGATGATGAATCAAAGAGACAAAGATAGAAGAAACCGGGTAAAATGGTAAAACGTTGAAACTGAACAAAGCTAATTAAATCCTTGCGGCTGTCATTAAAAGTTTAAAAGTAAAACTCAAGAGTCCCCACTTTGTCTATGCGCAGGGTTACACGGGCAAATTATACCGTACACCCGGATGTACGGTCCTCACCGTATATCCGGGTATTTTTGAAATTATTATGAACTTCTCCCAGTCCATCGTCTGCTGCACTGTCCCTATTCCTTCTCCTAGGTCATCGTCGTTTCCGTCTGTCTGTGCCGATCGATTTCCGAGTCAGACGATTCTGATGAAGTTTGTGATGGTGAAGAAGAAGAAGTTGGCGTATCATCCTCTTGCCTGCGCTTCTTCTTCTTTCTGCTCGAATGCCCCCCATGGTTCCGGAGATGTTTGTTGCTCGGTGCAGCGTTGGTCAATTGACTACTGATGTGGGAACGTTTTTCTCTTTTGTCTTTCTTGTTCTTCTTTTCTTGCTTTTATGTTTTTCCTTCTTTTCTTTCTTTTTCTTAATTTTTTTAATCTTTATTCAATTATAAAATATTTTAGATATTAATGTTTTGTTTTGCTATATCTCATTTTGTAATTTACGTATGCTCATTTAATATTCGTTTTATGCTCATTTTAAAATGTCATATCAATACACAAATGAATATTGAAGACATATTGAGCACAATAGAAATGAGTTTTATGTTAAATTCAAATGAGTGTAACGTCCAAAATGAATGAGCACACAAAAATGCGTTTTTAAATTTTTTGAGCTCATTTGGTAGTAATGGTATGCTCATTTTAAAATTCCATATCAATATTGCATATTTTAAAATTATTATACTACATTAAATTCGCATATTGTTTTAAATTGAAATCGATTATAGACATAATTTCAGAAATCTTTTTTAAACAAATAAAAAAATTACATTAGAAAATTTGAAGCAGATTTCACGATACTCATTTTAGGCTCCTAGCCTCCTATTACTCAAAACAATAGGCATGATGCTCACCAAACTTGCATTAATGCTCATTCCAGACAAATCGTGATTTTCATCTCAATAGCAGATGTTTGATGCTCAATGAAATGTCTTGATGCATATTCCAAAAGTTTAATATTAAATTAGATTCGTATATTTGAATTCATATGAATCTATTATAGATATAATTTTAAAAAATTATATAAAAGAAAAAATAAGAAAAAGAAAGTGAAACAGCAGTTATGAAGAAGAATTTATGCTGCTCAACAATACTCAACATAATAGGTCTGTTGCTCATTAAAAGTTCATTAATGCTCATTTAGCAGAAACCGTGAATTTCATCTCAATAGAGGATGTGTGATGCTCAATTAAAATCGCTATCTTGAACTCATTTAGTAAGTTATGTATGTCCATTTAGTACCTTTGTTATGCTGATTTTAAATAACAAAGCAACTAACAAATTCATTAATACTCATTTTGTATGTTACGTATGCTCATCTGGTAGAGATTTTATGCTCATTGTCTAAATGTCATATCGATGCATTTTTTAAAGTACTATTTTACATTAATTCACATATTGAAATTCACAGGAGTTGATTATAAATATATATAATTTAATAAGATTTTATAAAAGAAAAAATAACAAAAAGAAAGTGAATTAGAAGTTATGAAGTGGAGATCACAATTCTCAATATTAGACTCCTAATACTCAACAGAATGGATATGATGCTCATTAAACGTTTATTATTGCTCATTCACTAGAAACCGTGAATTTCATCTCAATAGCGGATGTTTGATGCTCAAATATTAAATGTGAATATATAAAACGTGAAATGAGTATCAAAAAGTTCAAAATGAGCATTACGCCAATATGCATGGATATGACATTTAAGTTGTCTCGTGTAATGCTCATTTTAAAATTTACGAAATGAGCATAGAAAAAAATTAAAAGCTCATTTAAAATCTCGAATACGCTTAAATATCAATTTGTGTATTCAGTATGCTCAACAGAATAGGTCTGGTGCTCACTAAAAGTTCATTATTACTCATTCTCCAGAAGTCGTGATTTGCATCTCACTAACACTATATAAAAAAATTATAAACATATTTATATAAAGTAATAGTATGATTCATAGATCAAATAAATACTTCAAAAATATGAATTAGTCTTTTAATATAGTAATAATGAGCAAAAGCAAAAGAATAGTTAATATTATAATTACTATAATAATACGCGGTATGAAACTATATAGGATAAGTAAGATAAATGAATCGATTATTTCAATAAGACAAGTTAATGAGATGGTTGAAAGGCCGAATATCCTACTTTGGGTCACGGGATCGAATCCCGTTGTGGTTCTTAATTTTTTTTAAGCTGAGGCCGCGATTTGCTGGGAGCCCACCAATCATATTTAATAATTGGACCGGATGTACGTACACCCGGGTGTACTATATAGGCTCTCGGGTTACACGCTGTTGAAATTGGTTGTATACTGATAATTTAATCGGCGTTTTATGAAGAAAATCAATTTTTACACAGATAAAAATTAAAAGTTGTATATATATCAAACATTTTAGAAGAGATATTTTCATAAAATGTCTGTGATACAGTTAATTTTAACGAGAATTTTAAAATATCTATGATACAGACAATTTTTTTACTTTTGTTTGTGTGAAAATTGGTTTATTCATAAAATGCCAGTCAAACTGTTTGTACACAGACAATTTGACCGACGTGTAAAAAGTGACGTGTACGAAGGGAATTTTCCGACTCAAAACTATCAAAACCCCACTTTTTATTAAAACCCACGTTTTATAAAAAAAAAACTTTCAAAAAAAAGGATATCAAAAACTCAATGTTAATTACTCATGTTATTTATTCCAAGTAGATCAATTGTTGATAACATTATGATTGTCTTTGAGACTCAGGATTACGTGAAAAAGAAAGAGGTTTGACAAGGACGATTATATGGCTCTGAAGCTTGATATGAATAAGGCATATGATCGGGTGGAGTGGTCGTTCCTAAAAATATGAAGAATATGGTGTTTGATGGTTGTCACGCCCCAGACCGCATCTAGGCGCATGTACAACCGCCGCATAGTCAAGTGACGTCACCCGCAGATCACACTCACCTGACAATACAAGGATTCCATGAACATAGTTCATACCATGCTCAGTAAGTAAACATACATAACAACATCCCGCTTAGATTGAATGAATAGCGGAAATATTCAAAAGTCAATCATGGGCGACATGTGACAAAACGTGAGCTCGCAAATCCAAAACAAAGTATTTATTTCAAAATATCCATTAGCATAGTTTATAGTTTTAAAACAGTAAAGGAAGCATGAACCACGTCTTTCTTGAGATCAATTCACCCGTGTAAAGGTGCATGTAGCAAGCACTAATTTCAACCTTAAAATGGTGGTGTGGTGGTGGGGGTCAACATGCTAAATGTAGAATAATTAACGTTTCAAGTATAAGACCCAAACATTGGATGTCACATTTACTTATATTCTTTCCCCAAGTCTTGAAGTACATATAAGTATATACACTTGGAAAATACTTGACCCATATGCCATTGTATAGGATGATGTGGAAAAAATTAATGGGATTGAGTATAAAACAGGACACATAAGCAGTTAACGTGATTCCCAAGTCATTGGCAGGTCATTTGACTCGTATGACACTTGAAATAGTAAGTGTATGGTTGTGACACTTTTCTTAGTAGATGAGTCTATGTGACGGTTTTATAATAAGGGATAGTTCCCGAAATAGGACTAAAGCAAGGGATAAGGGTCAAATTGGACACTATGGTTATATGAGAATCTCATATTGGATACTAATGTTTCAAATGGACCAAATTGGACACTATGATTACTTGTTTATCTCATATTTGACACTAAAGTTTCAAATGTATCAAATTTAACGTTTTTCTGATCATTTTTGGACACTGACCAAAGATTTTCACCTTTGAAAGCTATAAGCATCATTTTCTTTTGTTTTAGTTACCAAAAAAATATAAATAACTTAATTCATGAATTTACATTTGGAATATATAATTAAATGTTTCAATTAAGAAAATTTATTACTCCCTCCGTTCTTTAATACTTGGTCCTCTTTCCATTTTGGGATGTTTTCTATTAGTTGTCTCCCTTTTCACTTTTGGTAAGTTTTTTCAATAAATATACTCATTTACCCTCATTCTCTTTCCTACTTTTTCATTGTCTTTCCTATTTTTTCCTTTACACACAACCCACTACACCTTTTATTCTACCCCTATTAATTCCATCTTAAATCTTGTGCCAAAGCCTATACTCCCATTTATTAGAGAACGGAGGGAGTATAATGTAATAGAATTATTTAATATTGTTAGATCAATTTAATAAATTGACATTTTTTAAAGTTCAATACAATTGAAAAGTCCAAAATATATTTTTAAATTGTTGAATATAAGAAGTTATTAATTAAAATCAAATTATATATTATGAAACCTCAAATCTGTTATTCCAAAATTATATACGTAATTAAATTAGTTTATTTTCACTAAAAGGAAAGAAAATACAAGACTAACAGTTTTTATTAAAGGGAAAAGAAAATCATAAATGAGTGTCCAAAAACTATGAATTATGAAGTTTTAGTGTCCAATTTGAGACACATATGTAACCATAATGTCCAATTTGATCCATTCTAAGCCTTAATGTCCAATATGAGATTCTCATATAACCATGGTGTCCAATTTGAGTCATCCCCTAAAACAATATAAAATTTCCAAAATATGACTGTCATGTTTTTATTCCCAAAATAGGAGTAATTACTGGTAAGTTTGAAAAATACTGCCATGTTTGAAGTCTGGTACTGCCAAAACATGACAGTATTTAGTCTTATTTTGGGAATAAAAACATGACAGTCCTATTATAGATTTTTCAAACTTTTTTAGTCATATTTCGTGTAATATTCTTTTATAATAATATATGGACTTTTATGAAAAAAAATATATATGGACTTTTTTTTGACTATTTTTCCTTCTTCCTGTTTTCAGTTTTTACGGAGTATTTTTTACCACTCTATCTACAGACAAATTTAAGAGCATCTCCAATGAGGATGTCTATTCTCTTACACACTCTTACAATTGGGTCCCATTTTTTATCTCACAAATTTTATGTGTAGGACCTACATATCTCCTTATTTATTTTCATTTTCATTTTTTTATATCACTTCTAACCCACTTTTCATCCACTTTTGCTCCTCGATTCCCGTGTAATGTCTATTTGTGGACATTGTCATAGACATTGTCTACAATTTACTCCTATCTCTCTCTTCCTTTTCATTTTTCCATACACACCACTTTCTCCATATTAAATTAAACTAATCATCCTATCTCTATCTCTCTCCTATGCCACGTAGGATAGACTTTACTCCAATCCACTGCCCCATTGGATTGGAGTAGTGGATAGACTTTTAACCTAAGTGGTAATAAGCACTTCAACCTAAGTGGCTATTACTACTACTCCAATCCACTACACCATTAAGGGTTGGTTTGAAACTGCTTTTAAAAAAGCACTTCTCAGTTTTTGGTTTTAAAAAAGCATTTATTTTGCCAAACACTATAACTTTTATTTTTCTAGGCTTCCGCGTCAAAAGTGCTTTTACTTTTTCTATTACACAAAAAGCACTTATTTTACTAAACACTACCCACTTTTACTTTTCAAAATCACTTTTTCTCAAGCACTATCAACTTTTATTTAATCACTTTTCCTCATTTCATTAAAAAAAGCATTTTTTTAAAAGCAGAACCTGTAGCAAACAGACCCTAAGCTAAGTGACCTACTCAGCTCTCACACTTTGCTGGTTGAAGATCTACCCTGTAAGATGGGTCATCCCGCCTAGGGTTCCCAGAGCTCCGATTATCATGTTAGGAGTATTTCCAGAAGTCCAATCACAGTCTCACGGATGTAGGATGCCGCAGAGTTAAGCTCAAAATTGCAAGGAGTCATAACCAAACACCTCAGCGGCTTCTCCATGGCCTTTCTATTTAACAAATTTCAAGAGGTTACGCCCCATCCTCCCCTCCACCGAGAATTTTTATGCCTTTTCTGAAATTTCAAATTTTTGATATACTTGGGAATCTCAGCATTTTGACATTTTCAAATTTCATTTGGTATTGGCGTGTCCATGATTTACCCTGGCAATGACAATAGAATTGGGGCATCTCAAACATCATTTTGTGCTGAAATTTCCATCCTTTTGATATAATTTTAGGCCGTCAAGGTGCTTGCTAGAAGCCCTACAGTTTCAAGAGACCCGAGGCATTTTCAGTTCCAGTCGGATATAAATCGCCTTTTTCTATATACTTGGTAAGCAGGAGACATTAGTGGACTGTCGAGTTTGAAATTTATTCAAAAGTTTGTTCAGGTAATAAGTGATACTGTATACGTGTATTTAGTTTGTTGGAGAAAATTTCACTATTTGACCTTACATAAACTTTCATAGTTTGATTATTTTCTGTTTGTCCTTGCTAGAAAAGTATAAAATGATCATTGAAGCAATCACGTATCTTTTCATGAAGGTGTAATCAGATTTATCTTCAATAGCATCTAGGTAGACATTCTCATCTTGAAGGTTGAGCTTACTAATAGATACTAAAATGAGTTGACAACAATAAAAGAACAGAAGAGATATGAAGAAGACATTTACAACATGGGTTTTGATATGTGATTTTATATTTGCAGTAACTACTGACTAGTATCCAGTTTTTTCTTTCATTTTTTGCATATGGAAGATGACAAAGGTCAAGCTTCAACATGCCTCACTGTCACTTTTGTTCTAAGACTCTTCATTGTGTCTATTATTACTTATAATTTTTTATATTCCATCAGTCCCTCTCCCAAAAGAGTCATGGTTCGTATACATTTTTGTCCCAAGAAAGAGTCTTGTTTGATAAACAAAGCGTATTTCTGATGTATGCTGGCATGTGTGGAGTGAAGAATTGATGACTCAAATTCATAGGTTCTACATTTTATGCTCTCACTTCTCATCATAATACCTTATTTTCAGCCATCACCGTCTGGGGAAGGGTGCTGATGAAAAAGATGTAGAAGAGATAATTGATATGGCTAGCAACGCCCCACTAGTTGATCAGCAAAAGCAGGTTCAAGAAAATGTTCATTCTCAAATTAAAACCTTTTGTACCTGTATGGATGAAATACTATTGCCTGATGTAAAGAGCCATGTTGAGCCTCACTCACCCTCTGAATGTAGTAGCCCTCCTCGTCGCGGCGGTCTTAGTCTTGCTGTTGGTGGAAGTTCTCCATTGAATAATTGCTCTGGTAAGCACTATTCTATCATTTCATTCTTCACACAGGCTCTTTTTGCATGTGTGAGTGTGTGTGGTTTGTATCAGAGTATTAGACTATCAGAAGAGTAAAACTGATAATCAATTTTCATGTAATTTTACCTATCATACCCTTTCAGTGGGTAATATTTATTGAACACCATGTAGAGAATACATTCATATTTAAGACCTCTTCCTTTTAACCTCTTTGCTTAATGGTAATAAGCACTTCAACCTTTGATACCAAAGACTGCATCTTTTCTTGATTATGTAATAGGTAGTAATATTAACAGCCAGTAAGTTATACTCCGTAAAGAAATGGTCAATTTAGTTGAAGGGACTAATATCAGATGCATTCATAATTGATGGGCTAAGGGGAGTTCTATAAACCCTGTTTTTATGCTTAGTACTCATTTATATTAATGAGACACCAAAAGCATTCTGATCAAACTACACCATACTACAAACATCCAGATGAACCAGTATAGAAATATTCAGACCAAGCCTTATTAGAAACATTCAGACCAGACCAGAAACATCCAGACCAGATAAGAAAGGTTCTCAACAACACCTAAGATTCAGACCAGAGCAAATCGATTCAGACCAGATCTTAAAAGCTCATAACATATCTCGTCTTTCCGAAAAAGCGAACGGATCATGAAGTCAGAAATGATTAGTAATTTACCTATACATAGTTAGCCACTATTAGACCCTGTGTCGTGGACTTTGTCCATATTTTACATCATTACTTATGGAGGGACTAATGGTTTCTAAACTTTGGTAGTCAAGTGACGATTGTAATCACTGTTAAAGTATAGCGCATAGTTGTTACGGCGGGGTTTTGCGGCGCGGCGCCTCTGGGCCGCCACACCGCCATGGCGACATGGCGCCCGTTGTGGCGACATCGCGGCGATAAGTCGACATGAGTAATAATAAATCCATAATATGTTTTATATACTAAATTGCCTACATGTAACACATATAGCCAACCAACACTCTTAATGAAGTTGTAAAACATGTACATAAGAACAACATAATCCATAAGACCATAGTTTCATTGGTACGGAGTACTTTTTTCTGGATCAGCCAAGTTAGGCAGTAAGCAATATTTTTCAAAATTAGTAATCTATTAAATATAAATTAAAAAAAAAAGTGAAAGTCACTAACAATTAAAAATAACTTACTACATGTAATACAACATAGTTGCACAACGTAAATTTCAGCATAAATTCAAGGCACCAATAAAATTATTCAATATAAAAATATAAAAATATAAAAAAAGAAACTGAAATTTGTTATCATACAATAGAAAGAAAGAATATAAAGCAATTAATACCTACTGGAGCAATGAAAAACGAAATATGAAAAATAGATACCACTACAATAGACAGTAAAGGAAAATTCTGGAGCAAAAAAACAAGTCTAAACCTAAATTAAAAATTGTGCTAAGGGAATTTGCAAAATACTTAAGCAAACAAACACTAATACGCAGACCGCAGTACATAATTGATGCCTGTCCCAAAAATGCGCCGCCCGATTTAAGACTAGATGCACGCCCAACGACCTGGCTGACGAGTCACAACTCAGCGTTTGGGATGGCGATGACGAGTCACAACTCAGCGTTTGGGATGGCAAGGACTTTAGAGTCACCGATTTGCTAGATGGGTTAACTTTTTTTTTCTAATTGGGTTTTGCTTTGGGCCTATTCGTAATTATTGGGTAATGCCTTGCGTCGTTGTCTAGCGTCTATGGCTTCTTTCCGACTCTGTAGCGACGATGCGGCAACGCCTAATGTCTTGTGGCGAGTCGAGCTTCCATGGCGACCTTGCCTGGGCGCCACGACGCCAAGGCGACGACATGGCGACGATGCAGCGACGCCGTAATTACTATGGTATAGCGGTTGAAATATTGTAATCCCAATTTTTTTTACTGTGTTCTTTCCAAGTTGTTATTATGTTTCTCTTGTCCAGTGTTTCCACGTTATAAATGACTATGAATTGGACATTGTGAATTATTTAGTTGGTAATTACTATACTATGATCTTTGAAATTTTCACCCCAACAGTTAGCAAACGCGATTAACATTTTCCCAGAATCCCATTAGGAGAATTGAAATGATCTTGCCTGGTGAACAAGTCACATTTGTGCTGCATCTGAAATTAGATAAAGACCTTGAAACTCTTCTTTGACTGTTTGGATCTTTGGATATACATTTTGTTGTGAGAAGCTCTGTAATTAAATTTATCCGACATCAACAAATCACCTTCTAGCCCTACAAATACCCACTCCTCCTTCCCATATTACACACTTGTCATCCTCTAAACGATTCATATACTGTGCTGCACTGTGCTGCTCAGATAATCTTTCATCCTCTCAAGCAGAGACTGCAATCACTGCATTGTAAAAGAAAAGGAAAATTTTACTTGGTTACACTTTGATCCTGTGGTGGATTCAATTTGTAGGAATAAATGGGACTTTGCTTTCTTTGGTTACACTTTAAACTCATAAAAATAAACACACAATCTATCAAGCTCATTTCACATTTAATTAAATGTCCTCGCTTTATTTATTTTCATGCGACCCCTTCAGACTATTGCGATGAAACAGAAATTTTGTGGGGGTCAAGTGAAACAAAGTTGACTTCCAGAGGTTGTATGAGGCAACCGTTATTAGGTGATATGGTGACTAGATAGCTCCTTTAATCTAACCGCACACGTATTTGCATGCAGTACAGCTGTTCCTCAAACCAAGGGTCTAAAGCGTGCCGAGGTTTCTCAGAGCTTGAGGGAGCTAATTGGCTACACTCTTGAAGTAAAACCTTCTCAAATTCTTCATGAAAATGCTGGCCAAGGTTTATTTTTGAACGGGGAAGCTGATCTTGGTGCTGTTATAGCATTCTATCCTGGTGTGGTCTACTATCCTGCATATTACCGTTACATTCCCGGATATCCAAGAGTTGATGCTCATAATCCATACTTGATCAGCAGGTATGATGGGGCAGTGATCAACGCAAAGCCTTGGGGTGCTGGTGGTGAAGCTCGTGAAATGTGGGATGGGTCACAGACAATGTCTCCTCCTGTTAAAGATGAAACTGGGTCTGACCGAATCTGGGCAATGCTTAGTAAACCATTGCATGCCTCAAGTGGCTCCGGACATAAAGTAGGCGAAGTGTTGGAGAGGAGAAACCCTTGGGCTTTTGCACATTTTGCTAATCACCCAGCAAAGGACATGGCCCCAAATGTCATGATCTGTTCCTATGATTTTCCCCTTAGTGCTGAAAATGAGGATTTGCGGCCTTACATCCCGAATGTCTCTTTTGGAAATGAGGTGAAGATGAAGAAAGTAGGCAGCTTCTGGTTTAAATCTTGGAAATCAAGTGGTAGTGGGGCAGATCTAGCCGCCCCAGTCCTCAAATCTCTTGTTCTTGTTGCTACTAGACCTATCTGTGATGAGGAAGTGCTATTGAATTACAGATTGAGCAACTCAAAAAAGAGAAGGCCTTCTTGGTATGTTCCGGTTGATGAGGAAGAGGACGAAAGAAGGTGGAGTTAAGGCAAGTACAAAAATTTGTCCTAGCATTGAAAGATGGGGATAAAAAACGTGGCAGCAGTGATGTGTGGGTTTTTTATGGACGTTTTATTTAAACTTGAATGCATACTAAGAAGCTCTTTGAGGTTGAATATTTTTAAAACATACAGTATTAACTTTTCGTCATGGTAATAAATACCGTAGAAATAGCCAAATAGGGGCTTGGCCGGCACCGGCCCAAAACTAAGGGTTCAGGAGTAAAAGTTAATTAATGACCTGAGTTTTTGTAACAAAGTTGTAGCCACTAGCACTAGCTTCTCTATATAGTTTGGCTTAGGCTATGTTTGCGTTGGTGGCTTGTGCTTATTACAACAAATTTTTTAAAGAGATTATTGAAAAAGTGACTTATAGTAAAAGTAGATAGTGTTTGTAAATAGAAGTGATTTTAATTAAAAGGTAAAAATTGAAGTGTTTAATGAAAAAGTGATTTGTGATATAATATATTGATAAAATACAAAAACAACCTTGTAGAGTTGTAGGTGTAAAATTATAAGGAAGATTTCTATCGGTTTTCTTCCATTGAAGGTCTCGTATGTGTGGATCTGGTGTATGGTTGAATGGTTTGAAAACCAAATGTGCATCTTTGGCCATCCTGTTGCTTGTAGCTCGCCGCCGGAAAACGATTTTCAGCATACGAATGATATTGGACAGTACGGAAACCAATTGAGAGAATAAAAACTAAAACATATGAAATCGAATGAATAGGGAAATATATATAAGAGAATTGGCTTCATTAAACTTTAGGTCATAGATGGGGATGGAGATAGTTGGAGACAACATTCGAAAAAGATATAAGGGCAAGTTCGAACATGTATACTACCTCCACCCCCTAAGTTTGGGACAAGAGAAGGTGACACGGTTATTAATAAAAGTGAGTTTATGTGGTTGATATTGAATTGATAAAGTAAGAATAAAGTAGAAATAATTTAGAACCATACAAACTTTACCAAATAAGGTATGTGACAATCTTAGTGAGACAGATCAAAATAGTAAAATGGGACAATTATAACGGGACGGAGGGAGTATAAAATAAGACATAAAGATTTTGCTCAGACTTCAATTTATTTACAACATTACCTAAAAGCAACTAAAAGCATGTGTGGAGCTGATTCATCTTTTAACCTAAAAGCACTTAAAATTAAGCAGAATCCAATCTTCACAAACACTGCTTTTAGTTTTTTTTCAATGGAAAAGCTTAAAAGCACTTAAAAAACTCAATAACAAACACTGCCTCAATGGACTAGGCCAGACTGACCCATATGTCACTAATAAGATTGGGCCTATACATAGGCTTACAAGAACTCTTTATTGCAGTATAAAATACTACTCCTTCTGATCCGTTAATATTATTCAATTTTACCTTTTTGTGAAATCTCATTGAAATTCTCTCATATCCAATTTGGTAAAGTTTGGTGATTCTAATATCAACCATATAAATCTACTTTTCTTAATAATCATGTCAACGCCTTCCGTCCCAATATTAGTGGGATGGAGGTATTGAGGTAGTATGTAATCAACAGAATGAGTGAACAAAACTTATTACACAAAAATACTATGTATGTAATACTCCATCCGTAACAAAAAAATCTCCCCACTTTCCTTTTTTGTCCGAAAAGAAAAAATCTTTCCATTTCTAAATCTTCCCATTATACCCTTAATAATTTTGAAAATAATACAATATTACAACTATTTTTTTATATTTATCCTTCATTCCATCAAACTATCTACGTACAAGTTTTTTGGAAAATTCCATTTTTTACACGCCAAGTTTTACACGCCGGGTTACACGCCGGTCAAATTGTCTGTGTACAGACAATTTGACCAGCGTTTTATAAAGAAAACTGATTTTCATAGAGACAAATAAAAAAATTGCTTGTGTCAAAAACACTATGAAAAATTCCGGATTGAAATATCTGTGATACAGACAACTCTTACTTTTTGCCTTGAAATGCAAGTCAAATTGTTTGTGTAGCCGGTCAAATTGTTTGTACACAGACAATTTGACCGGCGTGTATAGTACGTACCCGACGTGTACACGAGGCGGGAGTCTAAGTTGCAGAAAACACGTACTCCCTCCGTCCCAAATTGTTTTGCAAAGTCAACATTTTTTGGTCAACCAATAATGAAAGTCAAACCTTCTTATTGATAATTAATTCACTTTTTGATAATTAAAATATACGTATTCATAAACTACATTGAAATCTCTTCAAAGTTGTAAACTCCAAATTGGAATATAATTAAAAATTGACATCCTAATTAAGCAAACAAAACGAATCTGTTTGACCAAGAAAAGTCAAAGTTGCAACTCAATTTAGGAGAGAGGTAGTAGTATATTATGCCGGCCAGATGGAGTGAATGTTATTGATTGAGCAGCTCCTAGGGGCTTGAGTCGATTTATTTGAAGGGTCGCCTTGATCACCGAACTGCTGATTGATCTTTCGTATACCTCCACATTAAATTCCAAGCAGCGTATAATAATAATAACTATATAGGAGTATATACATACAATGATACAAGTTTATTAATCATGAATATAAATACTGGAGGTGGTGCATATATGTTGGACAGATCATCATCAAGACCAGCTAGATATATATCATACGTTGTGTATATACAAAACAATATATACAATGTTCAAACTCGATTTGATGCCAGCGGGTGGAGGAAAGTCATGGGATGATGGAGGTTGTGGTCAGGTTGCTGCAATCCTCATTTCCTATTCTGCTTTTGCCATTCACTCTCTACGTTTCCTTTATTTCAAGGACGGATCTTACAATCTTTCTGAAAATCACGGTAGACTTTCTGGCAGCTCACAGATGATCAGACTAGACTGCCCAACAGAGTTCCTCACTGAGGTGCATGGCTTTCGGAGCATCGCTTTTGGGTCAGGTAGTGATGAATTGTCGTCGATAACATTTGTGACTAACAAATCCACATATGGACCCTTCGGGAAAAGCAACCCGTCGTCCGGTGACAGCGACTTCAAATTCCGATTGCGCAGTCGCGGCGATTCTATTAATGGCTTTCACGGAACAATTAACAATCTATCATGGTTTTGTCGGAAGCATTGGTATTTATTTACAGATCTCAAGCCGCTTCATCTCTAAAATTATCGTTCACATGCGTGAGGCTATTACGATGTTATTCGACGGATGTGATGAAAAATTGAAAACAAAATGATTTCATGATTTGTTTCATCATTTATTCATATTTGAACTGTTTTATTATTCCAAAAAAGAGTACAAAAATATACTCCCTCCGTCCCCTTTTAAATGTCCGGGAAGAGGGTGACATGAGTTTTAAGAAAAGTGTGTTTGTGTGGATGATATTTCTTGATAAATTAAGAATAAAGTAAGAATAAAGTAAAAATGATTTTGACCCACACAAACTTTATCAAATAAGGTATGAGACAATTAAATAGGAACATCCCAATATGATAAAATGGGACATTTAAAAGGAATGGAGGGAGTAAATACATATCAAACTTATTCGTCTTTATCTAAATGTGTGAAGCTCTATCACAAACTTTTTCATGATCAGAAACTTCATTCTCCTGTATTCATTCATGTGAAGCTCTATCACAAACTTTTACTATTACAAGCTCTATCACAATTTTTTTTAATGAGAAACTTCATTCTCCTGTAGTAGAATTCATTACTTTTATAAGTTACAAATTCTCATGTATACTAGTATTATTCATTACTTATAATGTAGCCATTATAAGCTATTATTAATATTTTATGAAACAGTTTACTTATTTGAGCTAAGTGTTCTCTGAGTAGCTCTCATGTTTACTTATTTTATAGTTCTAATTTGTGTATAATTTAGAATTTTTTCTACGTAGTACTACGTATAAATTAAGCACCACTAGACTAGAACAGTCTGTGCGGGGTGGTAATAATGTTTGCACAATTAACAAAAGCGGGAAGTCTTCATGACTAAATGAAACTTTCATATCACAAATAATAAGACTATAAATTTATTTATTTTTTAAATAGGATTAGCTTTCCAATTATACCTTGCTTTATTTTAATACTCCCTCCGTCTCATTTTACCTGTCCTACTTTCCTTTTTGGGTTGTCCCAAAATAAGTGTCTCATTTTTTTTTTGGAAAAAAATATGTGGCTTACACCAATTCATTTTATTATACTCAAATATCAACCACAACTTTTACTTTTTCAACCACTTCATTAATAACCGTGCCAAGTCAAACTAAGACACACAAAATGGGACGGAGGTAGTACAATTCATATTTCATTAATAGTTAAACATAAAAGTAATAAAATAACTTAATTTATACTCGGTGAAAATGAAAAAAAATTAAATATTAAGTAAAATTAATATAATAAAAAGTAGAAATATAATATAATACATTATAAAATAAAAAAACCTAAAAATTTAAAATTTAAAATTTAAAATTTAAAAAATATAAAAATGTAGACCTTTGATGCAGCCTCAACAACCTTCCAACACAATCAGCTCCGACCACCGGGAAAAATGCCAACATGTGTGAGAAATACAATCTTGATGGAATTTTTGAGAAAATTTTAACATTTTCAAAGAGTAAAAGATTTCTTCATGCCATTTCAGATAATACAAGTATGTAATATGAAAATGAGTTAAAAGGGGCTAACTATACATCATAATTTTAATTATTTTCACAAATTAAGTTTAATGTTTTTCGAATTCAAATATTCGAATTCAATTCGAAAAAGATTCGAATATATTTGAATATGTCAAACGAATCGAATACGGATACAAAATAAGATTCGAATTTTAAATGAATACGAATGCAAATATTCGATAATTATACGAATACGAATAATATTATCAAGTATTCGGTTCGATTCGTTTACAACCCTAGCTGTGCATTAACCAGGTCGAACCGTATTTTAAACCTGAACCGGACCGGAATGAATCGGTCCGGACCGGACCTGTATTAACCGGTCCGGGTTTCGGTCCTTAGTTTTTCAAGATTCCGGGTTCTGGTCCGGTCCGGGTCAAACCCGGAAAAAATAGGTCCGGACCGGAATGGACCGGTAAACTATTGTTCCGTAAAATATATACTTCGTTCTATATCATTAGTCATTATGTTTATGGCTTACTTTTGTCTTTTATTATATAAACAAATATATACAGAGTGTATATTTGGTGTCTAATTATATCCTAAGTTGTTTTTGATTTGTTTATTTATGTGCACTACGATGATCGTAGTTTATATTTGTTTGATTTTTCCAAGTTGTTTTTTATTTGTTTCTTTATTTGCATGTGTGCATGTAGTTTATACTTAGTATATTTTTGGACGTAATTTAGTTTTTATTACTCTACAGTAGATTTTGCCATTTTAATATACACAAAAGGTTGTAGCTTTAATTATTGTGGGAAACTAATTGTTACGAATGAATAGTTTTGATGCCTATATTTCAAACTAATAAATGAGCTAAACAACTATTTATTCTATTTAGATATTCACACATAAAATTATAGTTTGAAACAACAACATTTAAGTCTTTCTTAATCCTAAAAAATTTTGAGGTCGGCTAAGAACAATCTAAGGTAATGTCTTTTTCATAATCGGGTCAATTAGGGTCAAAACCGGACTGGACCGGAAAATTCAGGTTCGGACTGGTCTGGACCGGTTAGATTCAGGTCCGGTCTTCGGTCCATAGAAAATGATGATTCCGATTCCGGTCCGGTCCGGTTTTGGACTGGTGCACAACCCTAATTTTGAGTGAATGAATATTGGTTAGTTGAATGAATTACGGAGTAGGATTTACAAGGGAGGTATAAATAGGAAAATTCGGGTCTGGACCTCTAATATGGGCCTGGCAGACCCGATCACATAAAAGGATTGATAATATTTTTTTTTTATCGTAAAAGGATTGATAATGTAAAAAGCTATTCTAGAATATTCGAATAATAATAATAATGTACAATAATGTAAATGAAATCTGATAAGCCTGTGTGGGCACTATCCAAATCCAATAGTCGTGAGATCGGGGATCTGAGTCAATATGACAATATATATCCATCAGTCCTATTTGTACATCTAGAGATTAATTTAGTGGACTATTTTTCCTTAAAACAAAATAAATGTAAGAAAGCATATAAATTACATATGTATTTTATATATATTCCGTATTTGCGAAATCATATTTCTCTAGGTAAGAGTACGTTCTTTAGGATTTTCTGATGTACTAAATACGGTCCTCCACTTGATAAAAAAAAAGAGGGAACCAACACTCTTAAAAATTGGATTTTAAATAAATTAGTCGAAACCTTCAACCTAATAGAAAGAGTAGTCCAGAATATTATATTGTGTTTTATTGTTATATAACTTTTCGGTGTGTGATAAATAATGTAACACGTCGCCTCAACACGAATCAGTCTGAACAATATTGGGTGTATAAATGGGTCAAATAGACCCTTAACAAGTTATCATCAATCATGGATGTTAAACAAGCAGTCAAACCATAACTGGACTTCCATCCTAGTACTTGTCTCACTCAAGTATGCTTAACTTCGAAGTTCTGATGAGATCCATTGCATTAATGTTGGTATGATCGCATCATACTTCAGGTATTGTGAATCAAGTTTGTCAGGTCCTATTTAAATTTGTTCCTATGAGGCTATTATACACAAAAATGGAGACCTCATTACCTCAAGTACCTCTAATAGTGAAAGGTTTTCTAAAGTCATAACATATAAAGGAAATAAAAGAACTAATAAAACATGATGATTTAAATAGGATTGCAATAGAATAAGACCGAAGAAGCGAATAAATAACAGCATGTCTTGCCGTGAACATAATTGTCTATGTTGCCAAGCATACAGTTGCATTTGTAGGAGTTTTTTTTAGGGGTGTTTGGAACTGATTCTGCTTCTACTTCTATTTTAAAGTAAAAGCAGAATCAGAATCGGTTTTCAGAAGCTGGTGTCCCCCAGCTTCTAAAAAAACTGATTCTAGGAGTAAATTAGAGCTCCAGAATCACTTCTGGACTTTCACCCAAACACTCCAACTTCTGTTTCTGCTCCCTGAAGGAGCAGAAGCAGTTTTAGAATCAGATCCAAACACCCCCTTATAAAGCACACCCGAACCCTATATATTTGTGTTCCTGCCACTAATCATATGCTTGTCTGATTAAGCCGTGCATGTGTAACTATGAACTAATTTAAACTGTGAAACTATGAATGGCTCATTAAATCAGTTATTGATGGTGTGGAGTCTACATCGTGTGGATGAGGTCATGGGTTCAATACCACCTAATGTAAAAGTGAATGAGTTATTGATGCATTATGAATGGTGTGGAACAAATACTGGACACTATTGGATGTATAAATGGACTTAACAATATTGGATGAAAGGTGTATTGGATACCTATTAATTATGAGTGTTAAACAAGCAGTCAAACTACAATCGAACTTGACTCTGATATCATGCTAAGACTTAAATTTTTTTCCTAAAAGATCAACCAGATAGAAGTAACCCAAAATCTTATATAATGTTTTTATTATTTTATAGCTTTCTGGTGTGGGACAAATACTTTAACAGTGGTATCTATGAAAGTGTGAATCACTTGATTTGAAGCATTCAATCAATAAATATGATTAAAATAGTGAAAGGTGTACATCTTGAAATCTCACAAGCAACATATGACTTTATTGGTTGATTTGGTCTTGATACTTTCATATTTTGGTCATGATGTCTTCACATCATTTGTCGCTTGTTGAGTTATAATTCGTATGAAATTCTAACGGAGATTTTCCAAGTTCTCTACACAAAGTTATAGTCGAATTATGGGATTTATGACCGGCACGTCACCCTCTTTAGTCCAAAACGCCTTTCATGATTTTTTGTGCTCTAGCTTTCACCCCATAGGTATTTGACTAATTTCTCTCTTTTTCTACAACAAATACTTATTACTACCTTCATCTCAAATTGTTTTGCAAAGCCAACATTTTTTTATCCAACCAATGTGAAAGTTAAATACTTTCTATTGATAATTAATTCAATTTTAATAATTAAAATTTACATATTTAGAAACTACATTAAAATCTCTATTCAATGAATAAAATGAATCTGTTTGACTCAAAAAGTCGATTTTTCAACTTAATTTGGGACGAAGAGAATATTATTTATATGAAACACAAGTAAATATATCGGCTATCACTGTACTAGTTAGTATATAATGCTTCTTACACCAAAAACTTAACAAAATTTGAAATAATACATAATATAAGTATGGAGTTAATTTTGGAAATCTGGTGAAAGTTAATTATGAAGGAAAGAGTGTTATATTAGTGATATAGGAAAATTTAATACATAGTAAAACATAAAAACAGAAATGAAAGTGACATAGAAACAGACTGAAGAACAGACTAAAGAATAGAAACAGAACATTAGAATTTAGAAAGTGTTTGCAATTGCTTCAACTTTAAAAAGTGATTTTTTAAAGTGATTTTGGGAAAAGTGATTAATAGTAAAAGTTGGTAGTGTTTGAGAAAAAAGTGATTCTAAAAAAGTAAAAGTTGATAGTGTTTGGTAAAATAAGTGGTTTTTGTGTGATAGAAAAAGTGAAAAGCAGTTTAAAGCACCCTTCTACCTGTTTCAGCTTTTAGCTTTTAAGTGATTAATTTAAGCAGAAGCTGTCATTTGAAAACACTCTTTTCAACT